GAAAAAAAAATTAACCATAAATTAACGAAAAGTCAGATCAAAGCCAAATCAGGTTTGCACATGACTTAGGGGGTCCTCTAACGAATCCAAGCATTTAGAACCGTTTTTGACCCTTCTAAGACACTTTTTTAATTGAAAAAAGAAACATCGTTAAGTGAAGCAGGGGACCTAAAATCGCATTCGTTATGCGAAGCATGGTCCCAAACTTCGCTAAGCGAAAATCGCCCATAGGAAACATCGTTATACGGTGCATATTATTTTCTAAAAAAACACATTGTTATGCGAATTCATCGCTAAACGAGGCAATCGTTAAGCGAGGCACCACTGTATCTGTAAATGTGGGACTAATAGCAGTCAAATCAAGCGTGAACTCCGTATTCAAGTGTTTTGAGTTCTTCTGAGCCTTGATTCAAAACATATCCCTTGGTTACTTTGTTTCATCTCTTTAGGCGGCTTGCTGCTCTCCAGAAGAGGAGGGAACTTCGAGCTGCGGGGATTGAGATCCAGAAAAAAAGGAAAAAGAAAAGAGGAGTGGACTACAATGCTGAAATTCCATTTGAGAAGAAGCCTGCTCCAGGTTTTTATGACACATCAGAAGAAAATTACCAGGCACTAGATGCAGATTTTAGGAAGCTACGGCAACAAGATTTAGATGGAGAACTGAGATCGTAAGTTGGTTCTTGATTTTCTTTGTGCTTAGTTGGGGATGAAATTGTGTGGATTCAAGACCTGTATTAGTTGAACAAAATATAAGTAACATCAGCCACAATCCAGTTAGGGACTTACACCATACCATAATTATGTAGATCATACTGGTGATTTGCTACTTAACAATTTACTACTCACATCCCTGATTGTATGCCAACTTCTGCTCCTAGAAAGTGAACATCACAGGAAGGAATGTCCGCCCCAAACAATGGAAATTAGTATTCCCCTCTACAGACCCCCTACCTGCTTCAGAGGATTCCCCCATCCTTCAAACAGATCTTGGGGGATACAGGAGGGAGGGAATCTGTTTTGGTAACAGATGGCCATCTCCTGGCAAATGAATGTAGTTAGAAACAAGCTTCAACTTTGGCCCCCTCTGTCCTTGCTTAGTTCAACTCCATTGCTCTTTACCCTTATGTTGAATGTTGATATTAGAGATGGGTGCTTTGTGTGACTGACAGGTTCATGTGAAGCTGTCAGTGTGGCGCCACAGCTGTTGTGTGGACCTTTTCCCCACCCCAACCCCCGGGCTGGTTGGGCCACTCACCATTCTTCTTGTGTAACTGGGGCCCTTCTGCTCCAACTGCTCCATTAAAGAGGCAGGATTGGGATTCTTCCCATGCAGCCAATGAGTAATCAGCTGCCTCGGGAGGTAGGGACAAGCCCACCCACTCCTGCCCCGATAAGCGCACCGCAGGAACAGAAGGACTCTGGCGATGCGCAAAAAGCAGTGAGTGGCCCAGCTTCATACAAAGCTATCAGACACATGAGGTGCCCTTCTCTAGTTGATATAAGAAAGTATATTTAACTTGTATAAGCACTGAGAGATGATAAACTATTTTCTTTCAGGAGTGCACTTAAGGCAGGGATACATTCTTATTTGAGATGACTGAATATCAAGAAATGTACAGTGGTGCCCCACATAGCGAGGTTAATCTGTTCCGGATTAACCTTCGCTATGGGAAAACATCGTTAAGTGGAATGGGGAAACCCATGGGAACGCATAAAACTTCGTTTAATGCGTTCCAAATGGGCCCAAAACTCAGCGTTCTCCGATGTTTTCCCATGTTCCAGCGGCCATTTTTGGTGTCCCGGCGGCCATTTTGGGTGTCCCGGCGGCCATTTTGGGTGTTCTGGCGGCCATTTTGGAACCACCAAACAGCTGTTCCCCCGTCGTAATGCGAGCATGCCCTCGCATTAGCGATGGGGAAATCCGCATCGCAATGCGGATTCATCGTTCAACGATGCGCTTGTTATGCAAGGCACCACTGTATCTGCAATTAATTATTTTAGGACTGTTGCATATTTTGTGTATTTTTTAAAGATATATCTTAATGAAGTCCAGACCATCTTTGCACATGTTCTGAAATGGATTGCAAGTATTTTCCTATGTGAAGAGAAGGACTATAAGAGTGGTCCATTGGTCCAGATAGGCGGGGTATAAATCAAATAAATAATAATACAGTGGTGCACCGTATAACGAAGAATCCGTATAGCGATCCCTTTTTGGGGATTGCTATACGGAGCTACCCCAATCGCCGCACTCGCTTTGCGACGATTGAGGTGATCGGCGGCTCCAAAATGGCTGCCGGATGACCCGAAATGGCCCCCTGTCAGTGTTTTCGCGCCCTCCCCTTGCTTACTGAGGTAGCGAAAACGCTGCGGGGGGCCATTTCGGGTCATCCGCGGCTATTAAAATGGCTGCGGACGATCCAAAATTTGGTTGCTCCCTAAGGTAAAGGTAAAGGTTCCCCTTGACAATTTTTGTCCAGTCGTGTTCAACTCTAGGGGGCGGTGCTCATCCCCGTTTCCAAGCCATAGAGCCAGCGTTTTGTCCGAAGACAAGAAGGTTAATCCGCTATGCGGGGCACCACTGTAATAATATATCAATAAGCACAACCGTCACATTCAATCATGTCTTGCCTAATGCACAGAAGGGTGGGCTGGGGGTGGCAATATATCTCATGTGAAGAGCAGGAGAAAAGCAGCACTTGGCAACCGGTCAGTGGGGCACCACAGGGGGAGAAGGAAATACGTGCCACCTGTGGTGCCACGCCAATGAAGTGGCACGAAACTCCTTTAATCTCTTAGTTAAACTCATGTTTCCATGTCTGTGCCACCAAATGCAGACTAGAAAACTGTGTTCTAATTTCATAATTCTTTGAGTTAGACAAGGAGAGAAAGGAAAACTGTACTGACTAAAACCTCTGCAGATTTGTTGTGTGCATGTGTTCCTAAAGATGTCCCTTTGTGATTTTTTTTTGGGGGGGGGAAGTTGGAGTGAGTGAAGAATGTCAATGGAAAGGAAACATGCATACTATGCCAAAGGAAGATAATGAAGTAAGACAGGGACAAAAAACTTAAATGTTTTGATAGGGATAATAAAGACAGCCAGAAAAACAGAAAAGTGAGTGCTCAATCAAGTCAAGCCAGAACTCTCACTCACGCAAAAATGAGTAACCTCAGTCTATCATACCGTATAATAGAAATGTGAATATTCTATACTACTGTATTCATAGCATTATGAACAATCAAAATGTGCCTGGAGTCATGTGTTTTAATCTATGAACACAAATGGGGCCTGTGGCTGGACCATAGTTTTGAGGATCATCCTTGTTAAAAATAATGTGGAACCTCAAAGATCAGTGCGTCAGATCCATGTTTTGCACCACTGCAAAACCATAATTTCTGTGGTGTAGTCTGTGAACACAGATGGGCCCTATAATTGGATAGTGGTTTGGGGATGATCCTATGTAAAAAATCATGTGGATCCAAGAACGGCTGGATAGCTCAGTGGTTTAGGTCACTAGCTGTGAAGCTAGAGGTTGGGAGTTAATTCCTCACTGTGCCCCCTTGTCAGGGACTGGACTTGATGATCATTTGGGTCCCTTCTAGCTCTGAAATTCTATGTTATTGTGCATGCCTTGGATCAGTGCTTTTGCATTACTGCAAAGCCATGCGCTCAGGGACCAGTTATTTCTTTGTTGTAATCTATGGGCACAAATGGGGCCTATGGCTGGACAGCGGTTTGGAGATGATCCTACATAAAAATCATGAGGATCCATACATTATCTCCATGTTTTTGCACCACTGCAAAGCCTTGCAATGGGCGACCCATGATTTTGTGGTGTAGTCTGTGATCACAGATGGACCCTATGATTGGACAGTGGTTTTGGGATGATCCTATATAAAAATTATGTGGATGCATGAGAATCCATGCATCAGATCCATGTTTTTTGCACCACTGCAAAGGCATGTGCTGGGGGACCCATGATTTCTGTGGTGTAGTCTCTGGGCAAAGATGCGCCCTGTTATTTGAGGATGTTGTGAACATTGAGGATGTTGCTTGAGGATGTGGATCCATGAGGATCTGTGTCTTGGACTGGTGTTTTTGTGCCACTGCAAATAACTGTACTTGGGGAGCAATGATTTCTGTGGTGTAGTCTGTCGGTGCAAATAGGATCTTCGATCTGACAGTTGTTTACGATGTATAACATTAAAAAGCATATGAAATTATGTGGATCCATAAACTTATGAGTAAACTGGGTAAAACATGCTTTTTGATCAGTCAAAGCCACAAAGGGAAAAAAACTTATTTCACAGCTTAAATAAGTGAGCTGCTGTATATTATTATCTGTTTTTAAAAATAGCTTTTTAAATATTTTCATAGACAGGAGCTAAAAATGTTTGGCCAGGAAGGAATAAAATGCTTTCTTTCACACGGAAGCTGAATCCAGGCACATTCTGATTGGTCAGAATGCTGTGCCATGCTAATAATTTCCTTGGAATTCTTGGAAGTTATTTTTTAAAAAGATAGTATTTCAGAAGATTTCTGGCTCTTTAAGGACTAATTAAAAACTCTGAATTAGAACTACGACTGGCCCAATTTCTGTGGAGTAAAAAGGGGGTTAAAACAGACGTCCTGCCCCAGGTATACAAATTTTGTCTTATCTATGTTTTTCATCTCATTTCAATTATCTGTAGCTAAAAGTCACTTGTGCAGAGGGGTATAACAGTGTTACTTTTTAAAACAAAATTGCAACATTTTGCCCAAAGCTCCCCAAATTTGGTGCAGAGCAATAGGAGACTTTCTGTTACATCCATGCCAAATTTGGTGCTGATCTGAGTTTCATTTTCATAGTTATAATTTTTTGTTTGGTACATGCCTGATTTGGCTTGTAGAATGCATTTGCTCCTAAAGCACAAACTATATGTAGCTACAGTAGTGTAGCCATAATAAACTTCCCATCTATTCCTCAACTAATTACAGAATTTTAACAGGGAAAAGGAAGGAAGAGAGCGAAAGAAAGACAAGCAACAACTGAAACGGAAAAAGGAATCTGACTTACCATCAGCAATTCTTCAGACTAGTGGTGTGTCAGAATTCACTAAGAAAAGAAGTAAACTGGTGCTTCCAGCTCCTCAGGTAAATTCCTTTTTCCTGTTTGATAATTGGTATTTGGTATAAAGCAATTCTCTGGTTAAGTTGGTGCGGATATTTCTATGGTGCTCAGATAATGAATGTTTTCAAATGAAGGTGCACCTCTCCATCTCCCCCCTCCCTTTGTTTTTTCCAGTTGTCATGGACTCCTGTTTGTAACCCTTTTTGACGTCTCAGAATTATAGTGTGGGTCCTCAGAGTAGTTTTGTTTTCACCCACTCTAATTTTATGTATTCTTGTAGAAAGCTCTGTCTTTTTTAGCTCAAAATCACCTTGCCAGACACCAGAATTTCTGGATGTGGACATAGCACTAGCAATAGAGATACCACTTTATTAAACGTATACTTGTATGTAACTCAACTATTGAATTTGTTTCTCTTTTAAGATTTCAGATACAGAACTGGAGGAAGTTGTAAAAGTTGGGCAAGCAAGTGAGATTGCACGTCAAACAGCAGAAGAATCTGGGATCACAAACTCTGCTTCTAGCACACTCTTGTCAGAATACAATGTCACCAACAACAGCATTGCCCTTCGAACTCCCAAAACACCAGCAGCACAGGACAGGATTCTACAGGTAAACTGTAAATGCGATGCAACAATTCATTTAAAATTTCCCTGGCATTCTGTCCCTGTTGTTCTTTACAGCTGCTTCCTTTATTACAAATATTGTGATGGGACCAGCCTCCCACTGAGTACAGACTGAAGTCCTGGCATGTAGTATAGGTTGCTGCAACTGTTCTTCCTGTTCGTTGTCCCCTTGAAACATTGCCAGGTTAATAGAAATGCCTTATTGTTCTTCCTTTCATTCAAGCAAAGAGTGAGATAGAGATATTTTCATTTATTTATATTAGATGTGCAGTATAAATAAATGGAATTAGTATTTCTCTAAATTGTTCCACAGAATAAGACTTAAGCGTTGAAAACATTGGGCTTCTTTAATTTTTTTATTAATTAAGGAAAAACAATAATTACAATACTAACATAAAAAGTGTGTACATATATATAATACAAAAATTTTCTCCCGTGCCACCGTTACTTGGGACCGAATAACCAAATATATATTTTTAATATCTTTTCACTCCATTCCACTCCAAAAATGCATTGATTTTTCTGCTGGCTTATCAGCTTTCCTTTTTACAAAAACATAATTCAAATATAGATTCCATACCTTTTAAAGATCATTGTCACTCCCCTTCTTTTATTTCATGTTAGCTTGTCATGTATCGCTAAACTCCACATTTCTTTATACCAGTCTTGAGGATTAATTTGTTTGTCATTTTCCACCGTTTTTTGCACATATTAGTCTTGCTACTGTGACCATTATAAGTATTAGTTCTTTCTGTTCTTTTTTTAAAGATGGTCATCCTTGAGGTACCATCTCAATGCAAGCTTATAACAATTTTATTTTACCCTTCTAGACATATTCTTCATTATTCTTTGTGACCATATTTTGTTCCAATCCTCACTTTTAACCTTTTCCTCCAAAGCCTCTTGCCATTGGTTTTTCATCATAGCTTTTTCGTATCCAACACTTATTAGAATCTTATACATCTCACTTACTGTGCCCTTTCTTTTATTTCCTCCCTCTTGAAATTGTCTTTGCTCTATGGTCTCAAATTTAGTCAATTTTCTAATTTCTCCTACTTTCCTAGTCCACTCCCTTGTCCATCTTTCCATTTGGACTATATTTAACCAAGATATCCCCTCTTCCTCTCCCAAAATTTCCTTTACAGTGGTGCCTCGCATTGCGACGTTAATTCGTTCCAGCGAAATCGCTGCTAAACGAAAACGTCACAATGCGAAAATAAAAAGCCCATAGAAACGGATTAAAACGCGATTAATGCGTTCCTATGGGCTTCAAACTCACCGTTCAGCGAAGATCCTCCATAGCGCGGCCATTTTCACTGCCTGTTAAGTGAGGAATCCGTCCCAGAAAACAGTGGGCGGCCATTTTGAAACTGCCAATCAGCTGTTAAAAAAGCATTGCTTTGCGATGATTGGTTCCCCAAACAGGGAACCGATCATGGCAAAGCACAGCCAGCCAGCCTGGGACGACGCCCGGCCTCCTTGGATGGCAAGCGATGGGAGGAGGGCTCGGAGGCAGGCAGCCGCCTGGGGACGGGAAGGGGCGCTTAACAAGATTCCATTTCTAAAATATAGAAAGATAAGGAAAATTGGCTAAAATATTACATAACAGCTGCCCTGGCGATGATACCATAGACCTGTGAGCTTATTCAGAGCACTTTCAAACATACAAAAAAAGCAGAAAGCTTGGGGACTACTCAGTATAAAGGCTTCTGAAGCACATACACAGAAAAATTCAGTGCGACCATTGACAAAAAGGATATAAAAACATAAGAGAAATGTGAGTGTCTGCCTCCAATATCTGATTTCTGCCTGTGCTTTGACTGACTGAACCCAATGCCCTTTTCAGAATGCCTCTGGCTAAGAAGAAGAAAGACCCTGCTATTCATGATAAAAGGTCTTTGGATTCAGCCTCCTTTGTCAGTTCTTCATCAAGGCTTTCCTAATCCAGTACCTTTGGCCTGAGTTAATATATCAACTCTGACCTTTGTGGGGGAAAGAGAGGGAGAGGGGATGTATTAACTCGGCACCCCAGGGGTGCGCGCGGGATCGGGGCCAGGCCCTTCACCCCTCCTTCCCTCCCTCCTCCCAAGGCGCCAATCCAGAGCGCCCCCGCTCCCCCCTCCCGGCGTCCCCTATTTATGCAGGAGCTCAGGTGGGGGGTAGCGTGCGGCGCCAATTAGCTGTTTAAGAAACATTGCTTTGCCATGATGGGTTCCCCATCCCCGATCATCGCAAAGCGAAATTCCCCCATAGGGAACATCGCAAAGCGATCGCAAAAGCGATCGCAAAATCTTCATCGCAAAGCGATTTCATTGTTATACAAAGCAATCGCTATGCGAGGCACCACTGTATAGTATTTTTATCTTTCATCTTTTTCATCCAAGCCCTTATTGTATTTAACCCTTTCTCTACTAATACTTTACTAGAGTTTAATAAAGTCTAGCTTTAAGGATTTGGGGGAAGCTTTGAGCCTCCACTACTTCTTGTAGTATCTGAATTCTTTCCAACATTCTAACATGCTCTTCAAAAAGGGATTAGTCATTTCTGTTTACTTCTTCTGCAATTTTTTTTAAAGAGGATATTCTCCAATCTATTAAAATGTTCTGACAATTCCAGTTCCCTCCATATTAAATTTCTATTATTTGCAACAATATCTGGAATACTGTATGTCTAAGTTGGTTTGCAATATACATGCTATAACGTTTGGTAGTCCAAGTCCTCCTTTTTGTGGACTATATCATGGTTTCTTATTTATCCGTATTCTTTTATTTCTAGCACAATAGCTATCAAGTTCTGCCAATCTTTCAGATATATTTCTTCAGTCTTTGTTGGGAACATCCAAAATACAAAATTAAGTTTAGGAATAATCTTCATTTTACTTAATGCTATTCTTCTAAACCGTGACAGTTTTATTTTTTATATTGACTTATCTGGTCATTAATTTTTTTCAATTTATCCAGATTTACTTTAGTTGTTTCTTGTAAATGCCATGTAACATACACACCTAAATATTTAATTATGCTTTCAATTCTTCCCTTAAATTCTTTTTTCATTTTTTTCTCATCTACTTCTGAATGATTTAATAAAATACATTCTGGTTTCTCTCAATTTACTTTCACACTTGTAACTTCTTCAAAGTGATTCAAATTTGTTCTAATAATCTGCAATGTTTCTTTTGGGTTTTTAATTATTAATAGTGTGTCATCCACGAAAAAATTATTTTATTCTCCTCTCTATTGTCTACAGTTAAACTATCATTTCTGATCACTTGTGCCAGCACTTCTATTATCAGTTGAAATAAAGCTGAAGATAAGGAGCAGCCTTGTCTCGGCCTAAACATAATGATTCTGTTATGCCATCATTTATTATTTTTGCAGAGTTCTGTGAATATAATTGATGAATTATTTGTCCAAGTTGGGTACCGAATCCAATCTGTTTAAGCAATATTTTAATGCATCCTATTCAACCAAATCAAAAGCTTTGAAAATATCTAGGGATATTATACCTGCCTTGCATTTTGATTCTTTTGCTAAATACATCACGTTAAGCACCTTCTCACTGTATCCGACATCTGTCTACCTTGAATAAAACCATTTTGATCTTTCCCAATATATTTCCTTATAAACGTGTTCAATCTTGCTGCCAGAATTGCTGTAAATAGCATCTTGATTTATCAATGAAATTGATCTATAAGACTCCATATTTATAGGGGTTTTATCTGGTTTTAAAATTAAAAGTATTAATGATTCTTCCCAAGACTGAGGGATTTCTTCTCCTTTTAATATACCGATATATATTTCTTTTCATTTTGGAATAAGAATTTTTTAAAAGTTTGATAATATTCTGGGCCCAATTCATCTATCTGTACCAGGTGTCTTCCCTGCTTTTAATTTATTTATAATAACTTCCGTCTCTTCCTCTATTATTGTTCTCTGCATTAATTCCCTATCCAACATTGGGCTCTTTTCCAAAACTGGCACTTCAATATTTTAGATATGTGCTGATGGTTTTCAGGTGATGTGAAAAGAAAGAAAAAACATATTCTCTGCTCTTAATATGTCACTGGGTGGGACTAACAGTTTTAAATCAGGGTGTATGATCTCAGTGGGACCAACAGCAATTTTAAGATTTGCCAGTAGTCTTAAGAACTATGGAGGGGCTGGTTAAAGGGAGAACAGCATGGCCCCTTGTGCCTTCCGGTGGTCAAACAGTTTATCAGTGGTGGCCCCAGAGGGCCCTCAGAACTTGGCAGATATTGCCCCGACTCACAAGTGGCATGAGGGAGCTTCCTGGGGAAAAGACTTGTTTCAGATTTATGCAGCTCAGGTGTACTAGAGGCTCCATGTGGTTCACCCATTTTAATTTGTTATATCTTGTGATTTGAGGCTTTGGGGCAGTTGTTGTGGACTCATTACTGTATTATGAAAACATTTGTGTTCTCTTTGCTATTTAGGAAGCTCAGAACCTGATGGCCCTTACAAATGTTGACACACCCTTGAAAGGTGGTCTTAATACACCCCTCCATGAGAGTGACTTCTCTGGGGTAACACCGCAGAGGCAAGTTGTTCAGACCCCAAATACTGTTCTTTCTACACCCTTCAGGTAAGTCAGACCTCTGCCGCTGTTGGGAATGGTAAGAATGTACTTCAGTTTTCCTCCTTTGCAAGTAAAAAATTTGTGTTTAAAATTGCCTGTACAGTGTACTGTTGCTTAAAACTAATTGCTAGTGCTGACTAGAGTAAACTATTGAATCAGTGGGATTTTCATAAGATTTCTAACTAGAACTAGCAGTTTGAATGAGTCTTGTTTTACCCAGCAGCACAAGGATTGTTTAGATTTCATTATCAGAGCTCTACAATTTAGGTTATCTGAAATGATTAGAAGTTCTTCTCAGAAGACCCCTATGCAGTTTTGTTTGCTTTTCCAAATTCACTTTGTCTCCAGTGTCACTGGAGCAACCTCCAAGTCCCAAAAGGTGTAACAGTAATTAAGCCGACCTACGCATAATTGAAGTAGTTGTTATCAGCAAAACAGCCCACTGCTTTTCAGTCTTCTCTTTGTGCTGTTCTAGTTAAGCACAATCATATACTTTAATTTAGATTTCTGCATTGAGCGGAGGACTGGACTCCATGGCCTTATAAGGCCCCCTCCAACTACATTATTTTATGATAGTTTGATCTTTGGACATCCATCTCCACCACTGTCAACCAACAAAGCCTCCTGGGCAAGAACTGACTGGGTCCATGGTTGCCACTTTTGGGAAAGTCGGGAAAATGGAAATTGGTCAAGGAAAGTCAGGGAAATTATGATTAAAATATATTCAAGGAGTGGGCTTTTGCCCTGCCTCTGCAAGAGCGTGATCTGTTCTTGCAGCAACTGGAATAGAGAAGTAGCAGAATACAAGTAAAACTTAATGATGCCCTTTCCGAGCTCCACCTTTTTCTCAGCTCCACCCCCAGCAACCAGCCTAATGTGTTTGTTGAGCTCTGTCCCTGCATGATTTCCAAGGCCTTGCCTGTAGCATTTGCAAGGCAAGAGTAATTTAAACATTTAGCAAGATACAAACTTTAAACATCTGTTTTCATCCCTACCTGCTAGTACTACATTTAACTTACATATAAAGATAAGCCTGGTTTTGGGTCATGCTTGTGTATGGAATGGATGTTTGTCTCCTGTTAAATTTAGTTATTTTATTTATTTATTTATTTTATTTATATCCCGCCTATCTAGTCGATAGACCACTCTAGGCGGCTTATAACAAGGGATACAACAATAAACCCAGCACAGAGTTGCAAATGAGTTTTACTGCTGTTGGATTTCACAGTTAACTAGCACTTTCTACTCTGTACCATGCAAAATACATTTTTCAAATGTGATTGCTTGTTCCTGCTGGAGTTTACAGAGTACCAGCTCTCTCACCCTCTTCCCTGACTTCTCCCATGAATAAAGGTTGCAAATGAGAGTTGTCTGCTTTTGTAGATTGCAGAAATGATCTGCAAGCATTTAAACTCCACCTCCTTTCTTGCTGCTGATATGCTCATTACACTTTCTAGAACCAGAAAGTGAAAGTGGAACTTTCTCAGCTTTTGAAAGTTTCTACTTGCCAGAAAACAAATCTGCTAACATCTTGGTGTCAGGCAGGTTGTTCTTGTTGAGCTGTCTCTGAAACCACAATTTGAAGATGGCTTCTAAGATGACAGTTTTTAATAAAAGGTGACTGGATTTCAAACTTCATCCTGGCTTTGTTCCATGGCTATCACCAGTTGCTGGAGACAAATGCAAAGGTTATTGTAAAGTGTGCTACAGAAACTTTGAACAATGTAATATGGGAATTAGAGCTGTGGAGTCTCATGTACAGTGGTCCCTCACATTACAACGTTAATTCATTCCAGCAAAATCGCTGTAGAACGAAAATGTCGTAATGCGAAAATAAAAAGCCCATTGAAATGCATTAAAACCCATTTAATGCATTCCAGTGGGCTGGAAACTCACCATCCAGCGAAGATCCTCCATAGGGTGGCCATTTTCAGTGCCTCTGCAGCAAGGAATCTGTCCCAGAAAACAGCGGGGAGCCATTTTATTTACCCGGCGGCCATTTTGAAACTGCCTATCAGCTGGAGGGAAATCGTCGTTTTGCGAAGAATCGCTTCCCGAAATAAACCCATTCAGACCATCGTTTTGCAATTGGGATCGCAAAAATATTGCTGTAATGCGGTTTTGTCGTAATGCGGGGCAATCGTAAAGCGAGGCACCACTGTACAAGGGTCATTACATCAGAACCACCTGAAAATTAAATCATGTCAACAGTCCATCATAATATGTTTAGGTTCAAAGCCAACTACAAGTTCAGATAGTAAAACCTTTAAGACTTACATTAATGCAACACGGCCTGTGCATTTTTAACTTGTGGTTATATTTGAATGGTGGTCAGAAAATGACAAATAAATTTTCAGTGCAACCCTGTCTAAGCCTGAGGGGGAGAAAAGGAGCCCCATTTTTTTTCTTTTTTAAATCAGTGGTTCCATTTCCCTCATCTTGCTCCATTTCCCCCCTCTTAAGATTGCAAGGTCTATAATCTAAAAAGAGAGAGAGAACCTGTTTCTGAAGCTCCATGTACATCACTGGTACTAAATAATAATGAAAATGGTTGCCTTTTTCAATATATTTCAGTTCCACCTTTCCTACCCATTTTGGATTCCTAGTAGCTAAAAACTTTAATCTCTGTTGGCCTAGTGAAACAAAGCTTTTGCTTGCTTTCTGAAAAACACAAATGGAGCACATAGTGCAAATCTCAAGTGTAAGATCCCTCCACATGCAGTGTACGGTCGCTGGAAAGGCCATGCTTGTGGAAGCCACAGTTTCTTCAGCCCACAAAGAGATGCTAAGCAAAAGAGGCTGAGAAGATTCATATTCATGTGGGAGGAAGCATTTTTAATGATTAGATATTCCTGAAACATTTGTTACAGTGACACGATTCTACACTAGAGTTGTGTTTCCTTACTTGAATATGCAGTATTACTTTAAATACTTTTTTTTCCTAGGACTCCCACTCATGGAGCTGAAGGTCTGACTCCTCATAGTGGAATGACTCCCAAACCAGTGGTGGGAGTTACTCCAGGCAGGACCCCACTGCGTGACAAACTAAATATTAATCCTGACGAAGGAATGACAGATTATAGTGATCCATCATACACAAAACATATGGTATGTTTAATCTATGGCAGACTGAAGATCTGAGGCAGGGAGAAGAGAAGGGCAGAAGGGCTCTGCTTCGGGCTCCAGCTATGGCTTCTCTGCGCCCTCTGGTGGCATGGTTCTCCTCCCACGCCCATTGCATTGGTGCATGCCCCTTTTTTCTCCCTCTCCCCCACTTCTGAAACAAAAACAAAGCCACTCCAGGGCAGATCTGGGAGGACAGGCTGCAGGAGTGAATCCTGTTTTACTGCTTTTTAAGGGAGGATTAGTAGGAGGGTAAGTGAAAAGGCAAGAGGCAGCCGAGCACTTGTATCACAAAAGGAGGGTGTTGTGGAGGCACCTTAAAGGCCAGTGTGTAAGGGGGACCTCAGCTGTAGTCTTCAAGCCCATGAACCACAGGTTTAGTGCTGTTGCTCTAGATTAACAATCAAGAATAATAACGCTCCAGGGGAGAATTTCGTTCTCTATGACATACTCAAATCTTTCCAAGACTTGTGGGTTCCTATCTTAGCCACCTGATTTACTCACAAATATGTCTGATAGACTCTCGAGAACTGACACCCTCAACTGTTTTGCCTATTTGCATGGAAGGGGAGCAAGATGATCCTGCCAACAATAGACCCATAATTTTACTTGATGTTATAGGCAAACTCTGTGCAAGGTACAGTATCTCCTCTAGAAAGTGGAAGGATAGATAACAGTAAAAAATAAACAAAAATACAGAACTGTTCCGTAGCTACTTAAAATTATCATGCTAAATTGAAGTGAATTATATGTAAAATGAATATTTGCTGTCTTGTTGATGGTGGTGAAATAATTGCCTTAATACTTTGCAGGAAAGAGAATCCCGTGAAAATTTGCGCTTAGGGCTTATGGGCCTTCCAGCTCCAAAGAATGACTTTGAAATTGTTCTACCCGAAAACGCAGAAAAGGAGCTTGAGGATCATAATGCAGATGATACCTATATAGAAGATGCAGCTGATGCAGATGCTCGCAAACAGGTAGAAATATATTTCTGCAGTTTTTTAAAGGACTTTTAGAGAGGTCAGTGATTGAGAGGTGTCTTAAGAAAGAATAGACCACAGGACAAGAGGATACAGGAAAATATATCCTCCCATTCTGTATATATATTTATTTAAAGTATTTACAAGTCCTCTGTTCTCTCAGAGAAGGAAATTTTATTAAAAAGGATCAAAACAACGTCACATTAAAGTATGAAGCCAAGCAAAATAAAGATACAAGAGTGTCAGTGCACCAAACTACAGTTAATCTTTTGCTGATGCAATTGCAGTGGTTGTAAGGCCACTGGGGAGAAGCCTAGAAAAAATTAGTTGCCATCTGCTTTAAAGCTGAATTTGGGGGCTTCTGGCATGGTAAAGCCAAGTTCATGAAGGAGAGGATGGCTGTGCACAAGCCACAATGGGTTTTAAGGCACTAGTGCTGTGGATTCGGATTGGAAATGAACTACAGTAGCTTGTTTCAGATAAGCAAGGTGTGTTCTTTTGGATTCTGCCAATTAACAGCCTCACAGCTGTGTTTTGGATTAATAATAGTTTCTGAGAAGCCTTTGAAGGCAGCTTGAAAGATGGCTTTCAAACGCATTGCAGTAGCTTCGTCTGGACATTATGAAAGCATTGATTACTGCAAACAGGCTTATCTATCCAGGAGGGGTTGATGTGGCATATCAGTCTTTGCTGACAAAAGCACTTTTTGTCATGGAAGCCACTTGGACCTCTAATTACATGTCAGTAATGTGTCTTTGGAACTGTTTCTTGCGGAGAAGAGGGCTTCATCGGGTCTGGCAGGTACCATATTTGGATTCGTGTATTCCTCAAGTCACTTTCTCTTGGATCCTTTTTTCTTCCTCTAACAAATGTCTTTGCTTGCTGCACAGGCACATGTCTGTAATACATCCAATCTGTGCTTGAGACAAATGGATAATGGAAAAATAATCCTAAAGTATGGCACTAGTTGAAAGTCAGTGCCACTAGATTAAACCCTTTGTGTTATTTTCTTGGTTCTTAGCAACTTTAAAATCAGTCCTTTCCTTTTCAAAATTCTGTTGTTTCCCATTAAAGCAGTCTTTCCTGCGAGCTGATATTGTGACATAATGTGTTATACCTTAAATATTTTTCTAGACCATTCGAGAAATGGAGCGTGCAAAAGCACTAAAACGGATGCACAAAGCGGTTCAGAAAGATCTGCCAAGGCCCTCTGAAGTAAGTTATTCCTACTTCTAATAAAACTAAAATATTTTTTAAAACAAGGGACATTTTTTGTATCTGATGAACACATAATTAAATTATAGGTGTTTGTAAACTATAGAGTAGAAGTCAGCAATTGAGTGGCTAGGAACTAATTTAACAGGTGGAGTGGAATTTGTAGCTCATGAATCTGCTGGCTGGAAGGAAGTTATATTGAGACTTTGGATCAGGATCCACCATTTCCTTCCTAAAATAATACTCTAGAATAACTAGTTGTTGATGATCCAGGTGATCTTTGGTGTATGGAGGGGAGCATGGCACACTTTGCTATGGTGGGACAGTGTGCTCCTTCTCATAGTCCAGGTCAACTCTAGTTGCTGCCCAAAATGCAGCTAAGTGAAATTAATAAAACAATGTAAAATATTCATTTACTTATTTTTTGTCAAATTATGTGGGTTTCTATTGTATATGTTTTAAGGAGTCGGGGGTGAACATTGATAGAACAAAGCACTCAAGTATTAATGTGATAACGTAGCAGAAGTTACTCTTGAATGATGATGTGTGTGCTTTTTGCCTTAGGTAAATGAAACAATCCTGAGACCTTTAAATGTAGAGCCGCCTCTAACAGATTTACAGAAGAGTGAAGAGATGATCAAAAAAGAGATGATCACCATGCTTCACTTTGATCTGGTACATCACCCTTACGGAGAGCTCTTAGGTGGCAAAAAGGGAAAGGTTCCTGGTTTTGGAACTAGTAATACAGAGCACATGTCTTACCTTGAACACAATCCTTATGAAAAGTTTTCAAAAGAAGATCTCAAAAAGGTATATGTAAAAGATCTCTTAGCATTATTTGTGCTCTTTGCTTTCCTGCTAGGCTGTATAGTACTGTATTTTGCACAAGAGACATTTCAAAACCCTAAGTTTCCTACACTGGTGGGAACATTTCTAATGCTGTAAATTCCAACCTTGGACTCTCCAGATATTGTTGGAGTTCACTTCTCAGAAACTTCAGCCATCATAGCCAGTGGTGAAGAATTCTGAGAGTTATATTTCCAACAATATCAGAGGACACAGCTTGGGAATCAATTGATCTAAAACATAGTCCTGGGAATGCTTGGAAATATTGTTGATGATTCAGAAAACAGCCCTCTTCTTACTTCATGTTAAAATGTTGGTAAACAAAGTTCTTGCAGGAATGAATGTAATGTAATGAATGTTAAATTTGGGGATGATACTCTCATTCTTTACGGCAGGTTTTTTGTTTTTGTTTTTTCAAACATTTTTGATGCAGTTAGGTTTTCTTAACTTGTATATCCCCTTTCCATGCCCTTCTCATAGCAGGCCTATACTTACGTGTCATTTTCATTGAGAAAACTCGCTGTATATCAGATGATAGACGTCTCTTAACAGTTTTAGCTTACATGCATGATTCAAAGCCATTATAATTCAATTACTATAGTACCAGTATAGATAGATATTGGAAGCCATAATAATTAAGCTATTTTAGAATCCTGACAGATTTATATATTGGTTTAGCACACAATATCCAGCCCTTAAAAAAATTTAGAGCAGGGCTTTCACCTTTAATTTTTTCATTACAACAATTTTGTAATACGTCCAGTAACAAAATAGTGACTAGCTCAAGATTACTCTTTGAGCTTTATGGCTGTGTGCTGATGTGAACATGGATATAGCTCTCATCTTGCCCTTTAACTATTGCAGTGTGTTGGCACTGTGTAAAATACTCACATTCTCCACATCACCCAAGTTTCATATCTCTTATCCGATATGACGCACGATAACTCAGGTCACAATGCAGATATTTGTGTTTTGACTTCCAGTTATTTCCCATTGTATCAGCTTAAAGTTTCAGAAAATTGGGGAACTTCATGCATGTTTCTAAACTCTTAATGACAAAGTAGTGTTTGGGGAGTGGGGGAATAAAATAAACAGGTTACAATATGAGTTCATGTGTTAGTTTATTAGAGCAAATGTTCTGATCATTCTAATTTACAGTCACTTTCATTTTAACTTAATAAGCATATAAGAATATAAGCATAAACGTTGGTTTGTTTATATTCCCTAAATGACTTGTCTTTCATTACTGAAACAATGATGGATAGTTTGTGGCCCTCCAGATACTGCTGCACTACAAATCCAGTCATCTTTTCCTGCCGGCTTTATTAGCTATGACTGATGGGATTTGCAGTCCAACAACATCTGTAGAGCCACAATTCTTCTGCCATGTCATGCAGTATACAGCAATAATACCATGTTGGTTGTGTTCTAAGGTGTATTTTTAGCTTTTAAAGAATGGTAGTTATGCCTAACAGATACGGATGTCATGTGATAGTGCCTTATGATACATTCCCAGAATCTTCTGTGAACACACGTAAATTGCACTGTGGATGGTTATGAGGTGCCTTTTTACAACTGTCTTTTATTGTAGTGCCACTTGGAATGTACATTTTTCACCCCGTGCCTTGATAAAAATATCATTTTCTTGGAGCTGTTTATTTTCAAAATACATCGAATCGATCACATTGAGCTCTATTGAAAACTGATACCAAAAAGTTGGGTTTATATGGGAAATGACTATGTGAATGGCTGATTTACTTTTTTATATAAAGAGGGGGGATTGGAGATACAAAGGGCACCAATACACGTACTTTGTACATAAACACACACACAAATGTGAAAACTCGTGAGGGAACATGTCAAAGTGCTATTCTTCATATGAAGAAGGTGCACTATGGGTTATATATTGATGGCTGAAGCACAGCAAGAGAGATTGAGGTGTAAGTAATCATTCATTTAAAACAGGCTGAAGAACTCTTGGCCCAGGAAATGGAAGTGGTGAAGCAAGGAATGGGACATGGAGAGCTTTCCAGCGAAGCTTATAACCAAGTGTGGGAAGAATGTTACAGCCAAGTATTATTTCTCCCTGGACAGAATCGCTACACACGAGCTAACTTAGCCAGTAAAAAAGACAGAATTGAATCGTTGGAGAAAAGATTAGAGGTCAGTATAACTTCTTGGTTTTACTACAGCTTTTTTACTTATCTACATGCCAAACAACCATTTTGTGGGGGATGACAGAATAATCTTAAGTGGAGTGCATAAAAGCATTTGAATAAATGTACTGCCCCATCCAGAACCTTCTTGCATCACAACAGGTAAGGGAGAAGCTTTGAGATGCCTATGTGTGTGTGTGTTTTTTTTTTTAACTTGGCACAACATAGTTTTTCTGAATTTTCTTCACATGAGTCACAGCAAGAGAGAATTTCCCTGTGCTAATTCCAGGGCTAGCATAGTAGGCTGTCCTGGATAGGCCCATTTTAAGGAAGAGAATGCCGGTGGATCTGAAAACAGGTCTTCTCCTTCCCATGAAACACCCCATTTGTAGCTCTCCATTAACAGGAGAATTGTAGGTAGACATGAGCCCATTCACCTGGACATAGGGCCTCCACTGTGACAGCCACACACCAGGATAATGACAGCATGTCACCCTGCCTTCCATCCATCAGCATGGAGGTGGGTGGGAAGTAAGAGTGCAGGATTGCACTGTTAAAAGCAAGAGGAGTTAGGATTAGAAATGGGGGTATACGAATACTCCTGCACAGGTGGACATAACAAGGGCAGTAGAACTGCAAATCATTCTGGTAAGATGTTCTCTGAATTTGAGTCATAAGTTGGATAAACTTAAATGGTATTTTAACAATAACTGAAATTGGTTCTTTTCTAAAATGCTTAGTCTTTCTTTACATTGTTACTCATCTCAAACAACAGGTGTGATTTATAACTACCCCTGAGAGCTGCATGGAAGACATGCTTTCTCTAGTGATTTGTATCAGTTTAAATAAGGATTTCTTGGTTTCTGTGCTGAATGTAAATTTCAGTAGTGTGCATTTTTTAAAATAGCAGATAAATGCTTTTGTACATTTTAAAGGGCAGAACTTACTCTTCTCCAACCTATTATTATTATTTTATTATTTTATTCTTATTGATTTATTCTTTCTTTCTTTTTTCTTTCTATCGATAGATCGATTGATCGATTGATCGATCGATAGAAAGTTTGCAGTTTAAGAAGAGGATTCTTCTAAGAGCTTTGCATAGATATGGATCGTTGTGTCATGCAGTCTCCCAGCAGTGTCATCTCAAAGCTGCTTCTACCATGTTTCCCCGAAAATAAGACAGGGTCTTATATTAATTTTTGCTCCAAAAACACATTAGGACTTATTTTCAGGGGATGTTTCATTTTTTTCATGTACATCAATCTACATTTATTCAAATACAGTCATGTCATCTTCTGGTTGCTGCACAATGGTGGGGGACGGGGTTTGACTTAACTGGGGCTTATTTTGGGAGTAGCGCTTATATTACGAGCATCCTGATAAATCATACTAGGGCTTATTTTCAGGGTAGGGCTTATTTTAGGGGAAACGGGATAACAGCACTGTTGAGTGCCCCAAGCATAAGGAACATGATCAGAGAAAAGATGGGGACAAACTTCACAGCAAGCACTTGTGATTTGCAAGAGTGGTATAGAATGTATCTATTTCAGGCATTCCAAGGGAAAAGCATTTTTCCCAATGTAACTAAAATAACTGTCAGTATATTGCTTCAGATAATGCCTCTGAATCTTTTTTTTTACTGTTTAAATGACTTGGGGATTGTATAGGGATGACTTGTCTCTTTGATGTGTGTTCTCTATTTATTCATGAGTGTTCTGTTGAGTTGTTTACTGAGTATGAAGACCATAGCCAACACAAATACAATTGCGAGATATAGTAGTCCTCTTTTCCCTGCTAAGGAGCCTTGCCTTATAGAGTGTACATACTTGCATTCATTCTTGGACAGCAGGGTGCACTATTGGACTACAGAAAATTCATCTGTTAAAAGCTTTCTTACATGCCTCCCAGCACAGTATTTTTCTTATAAATGAAAATAGCATGGAGGCTTAAATATTCATGTAGTCATGTGGCCTGATGTTAAGGTTACAATCATATAGACACTTACCTGAGAGTAAGCCCTGCTGAAGTCAGTGGGATTACTTCATATTATTGCATTGTAGACAGGTTTACCACAATTATAATTTTTGAATTCTTCCTCGTACTGTGAACACTCCCTATTAATTATTCTTGGAATTTGAGGCTAGGGGCATGTGGATTTATAGTATCCATTTGATTGTGCAGTGGTCTTCAGTTGATTTTTTTTTGCTATGTATCTATTTTTTCAGTGAGATTCCTAGAGTATATACTCAGTTCTATTTCTTCCTGAAGTCAGCAGAAAGTTACTTATTGAAATAAACTGTGAGACATCTTTCTTAGAATGAAAAGAAATGCATGAATTGTATAGCAGAAGTTACTGTTTTAGATATGTTTGCCCTTCCAAAAATATCCTTCATATATGTATCACCGAAGAAGAGACAGCAAGCATTAAGAAATACATCACTTGAATTTAAACCCATTTTTTGACTGATGTCCTCAGAGCAGCATGAAGATTATAGCAATTGAGATACTGCCACACAAAGGAGACAGCAGGAGGTTTGGAGTCTGTTAGTTCAACCATATGATTCTCTTCTGTGAGATGTCCAGTATCCTTTCCTGAGCTAGTACAGATAGTAGCTGGCTGGATAACTCAGTGGTTTAGGTATCTGTGGAGCCAGAAGTTGGAAGTTTGATTCTCCCCTGTGCCTCGTGGGAGAAAGGCCAGCCCATGTGGCCTTGGGCAGGCTGCACAGTCCCATGGTGCCCCCAAGAAGGGAATGGCAAACCAACTTCTGAGTGCTCTTTTACCTGGAAAACCCTGGAAAGGGTCACCATAAGTTATAATTGACTTGGTGTCACACAGTTTATTAGTACAAAAAGTATACTGTGGGATTGTTGAGTTTAGGAAATGTTTGCTCCTTTGGGATGTCTGCCTTCCACATGTAAGGTTCCTTGCATGGAAATAATTTCTTTATAAGTCTGAATTCTGGTTAAAAATGTTTCATTTACAATGAAATCAGTTGACTGCTTTAAAAGAGTTGGGTTCTTTCCTTTAAAATCCATAATACAATATCCTGCAAATATTGCCTTCAAGGAAAAGACATTTTATACTGCCAACTAACACAAATACTTTTAATTTCTGATAGTGGGTGGGTTTGTCATATCAGTTGATTGTTTACATTCCAAGTATTCAAAACATACATGTTTCATGCCAGTCAAATGTAATTATAGTTATATGTTTTATTCCAAGTTTAATCATTTCTCAATTCAATGAGGTTTCAAATATATAACCATTGATAAAAGCACGGAGCACACAGATTGGGTTTGTTAGAGCAAAAGGAGTGGGAACAGAGAAGGAAAATTGATATGTACTGGGTAGGCAATTTTAGCTCTGGTGCAAAGCTGACAATGATTTACTAAAACATTGCAGACTATCATATATCTTTGGAAGTCTTGTTTGAATGAACCATTGTAGCCTAAGTAACATCCTAAGTTGAGGCAGATTAAACATGAATACAGTTCCAAATAATTCTGGAGCAGTATGCTACAAGAGTAAAGTTCTGGGGTTTTTTTTAAAGGAAAATAAAGGCCAGAATCCTAAGTACAGAACTCTGTCATTATCTGGAACCTCTGATCACTGCTTTAGTTGTCTCAAGGGGCAAAGAGCTTGGCTGGCTCAGTGCAAGCTGATGCCAAGCAAGCTACTTTTACAGCATAGTTGCTTGGGAAAATACACAGTCAGCAGGGCAAATAGCTGTACCAAGTAGATTCTCTTTGTCAAGGAAAAGAGGACAAGTAATGCCCTATAATTATTATGATTATAATTATTAGTCAGTCAGTCAGAAACCTTTATTGGCATACTGAGTACAGTAAAACAGACAAATACAATAACATACAACTAAAATGTTCACTGGGTAACGGGTGGGAAGGGCCAGCCAAGAGCATATTTAGGGCTCTTCATTCTGCGAGACCGTGCTACGACGTCTCTGCATGATGGCATATACGTATCTGGCAGTTGACAGGGTAAGTTCCTTAATATTGCCACTTAGAAGATGCTGCATTTTCCTCATATCATATAATTATTATAGGTTGTCAAGTTGATTCTGACTTATGGCAACCCTTGCCAGATTTCCAAGGTATAGAGTAGTAGAAGTAGTCACTCAAGAGTCCAGTGTGATGGCACTCTGGGACTGTGCAGCTTGTCAAAGGTTACTCTGGGTTTTCTTGTGAGAAAGAACAGTGAGGAATTGGCCCATTACTCCACCCAGCTGAACTTGATTGAAATCAAGTAGTAAATCACAGCTAGAATAGGTTCATTGAATCACTGAGCATCCTATGAGTCAACATCTATGTACGTTCCATTGATTCAATGGTTCTACTTTTGTTGCAACTTACTGCTGGATTTCAGTCATTACATCTCTTGGTTTCTATGAGCCACATAATAGTTTCAGATGATAGTATATGGCTTAGTGTACCCTTAAAATAGAACCACGTGCATCCAGGAAGGGATCTGGATATGTATATTTATACTTTTTTGTAATCAAATGAACCATCTCCAGATTTACCTTATTTTTTGCTCCATAGGACGCACCTGACCTTAAGACAGCTTTTAAAGCAAGTACGCACGTTTCTACACAAGCAGGTTTCAACTCAAACGGAGCACCTTTTCACCCAAGCACTAACCCCAAACAAACAGCTTTTAAACTAAATTTTACATTTTAAAACAACAATACCAGGCAGTCCCAGATCTCTCTCCTAGCTCTCTAACTGCTTGGACTAGCAAGGAAGCAGACAAGCAGCCTCTTCACTAACTGA